GTTATATGATTTTTATCTCTCAACATTATATTATCGTTAAATCAATTTTAATAGACATGATTTCTTAGAATAATTAGAAAACGGAAATATTGAAACTTTTTTTTTTTAATGATCATTCGTGATAAATTTCTTTTTTTTATAAAAAAAAAAATTATTTACTATTTTGTCATGCATAGGTTTGCGTCAGAGCTTAATTTACTTTTATATATACGTTACTCAAATTTATCATCGAGAAATAGTAATTCTTTGTTTTATTATGAAAAATTAAGAAAATAGAAATATTGATATTTCCTCTAAATTCAGAATCATATAACTAAAATATATATAGTCTAAATGTTTATTTATTTAGTAAAACAAAAAATTTCGAATAAAATTTTACATATTTCAGAGAAAATTTTCATTTAGACTTCTGTTTAATATATATATATATATATAATCAATAATAAATATTTAAGTTTTTCCATATGCACTACTTTCAGGATTTACAGCAGAATAATTTGGTGGTTGATCATTATTATTTGGTGATTGTTTATTCCATGTTTGTTGTTCTGATTGTTGATAAGGTAATTGTTGTGAGTAGTAGCCACTATTCGCCGTTTGACCATAAGGACCATATGGTGATTGGTATGGATGTGGTTGAGCCCATACTTGTGATTGATTATTTTTCTTACAGCACATTACATAAATTGTAATAATAAGTCCAATAACAGTAGCAAGGCCTAAGACTCCTCCAATTACAATGCCAATAATGTCGGTTACGCTGATACTTGAACTACTGGATGACATTCTGACGAGATGCAAATCAATGATGAACGAATGGTCTAATCGAATTTATAAAAAAATTTTTCTTTTTGTTGTCAATGAAAGAATAATCAGGTTTTGAATTCAGTTCTTTTCTTTTTAATTACAACGTTCGAAAGATGTTGTATGTGTTTTGGAAAGGATTCATATGTAGAAATGAAAAAGAAAAGATATTAGAAAAAAAATAAATTGCTTCATTACATTCACGAAAAAAAACAATAGATCGGATGAATAGTACATAAAAAAAAAGAATGAAAATTTATAGGTTTGATGAAACCTTTAAAAGTTTATATTCAGATAAAGTGGACACTATTCAATTTTATTTTTTAAAATTAATTAAATATGAAAAAAATTATATGCGACAGAATAATGAACATCGATGTAAATTTAAAAGTATTAGAAGTTTTGATTTTTATCTATAGATTTTTCTTATCATAGAAAAATATCATTAAAATTTATTTTCAGTTTTTCCGTTGAACATATTTATTATTATATAGCAAACGTTATTTTGATCAAAACCGTGTATTTTTCAACTGAGTCAAATACATATAATATTTAGTTTGTTTTTTGTATTATCAATTATTTTCTCATTTAATTCGTAAACTGTTCAGATATTTCACCGTTATATATTAACCCTTTGGGGACGGGTTTTTTTTTCTGTATATTTCATCATAAATCAATCAACATTTCTATATTCTAAAAGAACTTATTATCCATTACTGGATATCTGAATAAAATAACCTAATCACAATCCAAATTATACCAAAAAACTCTCTGATAAATGCTTTCACGAAAACTAATCTCATATAGAAATCTGTGTGTTTTGAAATGCTAGAGAATCACCATGGCCCCTGAAGGGGCCAACCGTCCCCAAAGGGTTAAAGCATCTGACATTCAAAATTCAATAAAAACATAGAATAACAATAAAATATGATGTTTCTTCTTTATTCATTTTTTTTTATTTAAGTCAATATATGTGTTTTTTATTGTTAGATCATGATCAACAAGAAAAATCAATATCTATCTGCAAAAGTTTGTTAAATTTAATCATACATCATTTATATAACACCAAGACTATACGCTTGGTTTTTATTTTGTTTCACATATTATCGAAATGCACTATTGAAAGAAAAGATTCAATCATGTTTATATCCGTGTCAGATTGAATTTGTTGTTCGCCAAATACATAATACAAAGAACAACTATACCTGTCATCGATTAGCTAAAATAAATCAGTTTTTATTTGATTCAAATTGCAATAAAATTCTGGCTTTTTTCTTTTTTTAATGTTAATATTACGTTTTTTTTCTACATAATGTAAAGTACATAATCTTGTGAATATCACTCAGTTAGAAAGAGTAAATACATTAATGAACGTGACAATCGACTCTTAAAATTTAATGACAAAAAATAGTTGATATGTTTGTCAAAAAAAAATCTAATAAGAAATAGGCCACGATTTATTGATTCAATGGAAAAAAAAAACAATGTGTAGGTAGGAAAGCAGGAACGAAAATAATTAAGTTTGTTAATACTTCAAAGCCTATCAATATTTAAATTGTCCAAAAGAATATACAGCGTCAATATTTTCGAGCTGAATTGACCTAATAATTATTCTTAATCTCTCCATCTCAAATTAGAGAGTCATTCTTATTAGAAGATTCTTTCGAAAAAAAGTTTACAAGGTGTTTTATAAAGATATGAGTTTTCCGCCAATCTTCTTCTAAGATTAAATGAATTTTGATATTTTAATACTAAAGCATGTAGGTTTTAAACTTTTCTACTGAGTTTTTTTCAGGAGAAAACGAAATATTAAGGCACTTAATTAGTGAAAAGATTCAAGTTCAATAATTAAAAAAGAACTTTTAATAAATTACATATATGTATATAATCAATAACAATTGAAACAGAATTATAATTTTCTTAAATATTTCTAACTTTTTTTAAATACCATAAAGAGAAAGTCATTAATATTCACATTTTATTTATTATTAATTTCATAATGCAAAATATAAGAAAATGCTTAAATCCTCTCAGTTAAATTTTCCATTCCGTTTATTTCTTCATAGGCAGGTGGTGGTTCTTCTACTATCTTTTGGAAATTTGATTTTGCCTGTTGTATAGGTTCTTGTGAATAATTTGCATATGGATACATCGATATCGACTGTCTATAGGGTACTGATGTTGGAAGTGGATGAGTCCAAACTTGTACTTGAGATCTTCTCTTGCAAAAAGTCAAATAAATAATTGCAATAACACATATCAAAACAGCAAGTCCTAATATAGATCCTATTACAATACCAAGAATTTTGCCAATATTGGAAAGATCATCAAACGTAGAATTAGTGTGAGAATAACATCCCGAACTATTCGAACATATTGTTGACGACATCATGTTTTTCCAACTAATATCAAAATCAAGAAGAACCAATGTGAAGAATATTCGACTAAACTGGATAGAAGTAACGTAGATATATCTAAATTTACACTATTAAAACCTGAACTAGATGACTACATTAGAAAAAAAAAATCAAAATGCAAAAGAAAGAACAGAAAAAAGAGAACAAGAAAAATAAATTGATTACAATCTACGAATAACTGTCATTATTGACCAAGAACAAGATAACTGTCAATATTCTTTTATTTAAAATTTTACAGAAGAATATATCTAGAAGATTCTAATAGTCAAAATATGAAACTTCTTAAGATTTGGTGGATATCAAAAGAATCATCATGTTGTCTAGTATTTAGTCTATAATAACTAGTGTTGTTGACTGAGTCTATGTTAAATGAGAGATCTATCTTTGAAAATGATGCATGTTTTATACACCCAAACATATTCGTACAATTTTGATCAAGGTGACATTTTTTTTTCACCATGATTTCAAAAAATTTAATTATACGGTCGTCAGATACCGAAATGAACAAATTTGTACATTCGTACTATTTTCTTCATAGTTCAATTCTATTAAACAAGCAAAGTTAGTTATTCAAAAAACAGGAGATCTTTATTTTGAGACATCTTTATCAAGAAATCACAAACTAAAATTTGTTTTTTCAATATATTATTTCAAATGTGTGTGATAATGAGAATAATAGATATTTCTGGTTTTTCTGTTTGAAAGTTAAAGTAAAAATGTTTGTGAGGTTACTTCCATGACAAGGCTTTATTTTGAAATAGCAAACAAAAAAAGGTAATTTTGTTCAAAAAACTCAAATAGTATTTTGAGATAGAAAACGATATCAATACCACGTTGATTGTTCTTTGTTTGATACATTTTTGTAATTGACGTTCCATTGATGCGGAAACCTTTCCAGCTGTTGTCTTCTGATTTCAATAATTTTTTGCCTATGGATATTACATAGTGTTCTAATAAAAAATTTTTAGAGTTTTTATCAGAATACTACCACAAGAGCATCAATCAACTGAAAGAAACAAATACACAAAGAATACAAATATATTGATAATTTGCTTTTTTTTTATTCATGATTGATTAGTTGACTTTGTTCCATCGTTTCGTGTTCTATAAATTAATAGAACATTTTTATGTCAGCGTACAATTTAAGACCCGAATTTGAATTAATTCAAACTTGGATTAAACAAAAAGTTGAGATCAAAACTCATTTTAGATCCTGAAATCGTTGTTCGATTTAAAACCTTTTATTCATGAGCTACAACAAATTTATGGTATTTACTTTTATATTAGTCTGTTCAAAAGTCAAAGTTAGATTAAACAAGTTTTAAGTAGTTTTATATGTGAATTTTCATGATCAGAATCGGCTATTCATAAAAAAAGTATCATCATTGTATTGTAGTTCATCCAAAACAAAAAATTCGAAATCTAACATCGATTTCAGAGTTTTGCTCGATCCAAATCTGGATTAGTTTAAACTCGCATGTTAGATTGAACGCTGATATATATATAACACAATGCCTATTTTTAAAAAGAAAATTGAAGTATAAACATCAATGTCTTATGAATGAAAATCTTCCAGATTGTTGCCAATAATGACCAGCTTTATATTCAAATTTCATTTATAAAAGTATTGATTAAGATATAAAACGAAGAGTGTGACTAAATTAAAAAAACAAGAATGAGTTCCACAAAAGTACATAATACAGCGTAGTAAAATGAATAAATTAATATTTAAATTAAATAGATAATCGATGAATTCAAACATTTTTTTAAATGTCTTGATTAAAACATAACATTATCATATTTATTTGTTTCTTGATATGAAGGTGATAGTTTATTAGAAGACTCTTGTGAATTTACTTGCGGTTGTTGTTGATCCGATAGTTCTTGATTTTGTAACGTTCGACCTCCTCGTAGCCGACATTGTAATCTTTTTCGAAAATATCCTTTACAATGTACCATATATGTAATTATGACAATTAATATAACAACAATTAGAGATGCTATAGAACCAAGTACAAGACCTAGAACGGTATTATTACCGTTCGTTGTATTCGACGAGAATCTCTTACAATTAGTACCACTTGTATCACAGGATAATGACATGTCGAGTTCGAAAAAGTCAAATAATAGAAACAAGAAACAGTTAATATTAAAAAAAAAAACTTTGCCTCTTTTTAAATAATGAAATGATCATGATTTAACTGAATAAATTTACTTTATTATATCATATACTTTATATATATGTTAGAAATAAATCAAGAATAAAGAAATGCAAGAAAAAAAAACGAAAAAAAAAAGCACTATCAAATAAATTTAAAAATGACAATAAGAACATGACAGTGAGATAGGCAATTACACCTAATGTTGTAATGTCAAACTTGAAAGTTGAATTCAATAATAAAATATCTAAAATTCAGACATTTATTGAAGCACATACACAAAAGCAATTCTCTTGTTGATTCTGCCAAGAAAACATACATACGAAGCAATATCTAAAAAGATCTTCAATAATTGAATTCAACTATTCAGTTTCATTCTAATAACAAGATAAGAAAAGGCTAAGAGAAAAAGATTTAATTTTTAAACACTACTAAAGAAATTTATTGTCTGAAAGAGCAATGTTTTTATGCAGCATGGAGACAGCATCCCTTCAAAAATCGGATTATCCTTTCGGAAGTTTTAAATTGCTCATCCAAAAGAGAAAATCTAGATAAAATTCTATAAAGAAGATACTCTAGATTATTTTATTATAAAATTCAAAGAAGTAATTACACTGAAACTTACCTGTATCTACTTCCGAATTTAAATGAATTTCTGTTTTACATGAAAAAAGAAGTGTTTGACGTATTATATCACAGATTATTATTATTATTACATAAATCAATTTTATTCAAGTTACTCGTGTAAATTTATTTAGATACAATTCAGTTCGATTTTGCTAAGGAAGATCATAATTAATTTATTGATTGTTAGTTATTAGTAAATATCTTCCTAGTTACTTCAGAATATTCTTTTTCTTTTTTGGTGATGTTTCGAAAATTCACGCTGCCTTCTTTGGACTTTTTTGATCGAACATGAAAAATACTAGAACACACACATATTTTTTTTTTTTCTGTTGTTGTTATAATTTTGATAGCAGGTCGGAAGAAGATGACCAGAAAAAATCATTTCTGCCAACTATCACCATCTTTTCGACTTATTATCAAAATCACAACAATAACAGAAATGAAAAATACAGTGTGTGTGTGTGTGTTCTATTACTTTTCATTTTCGATCGATAAAGTCCAAAGACGGCAGTTTCAATTGTTGAAACATCATCAAAAAGAAAAAGAATATTCTACAGTAACTAGAAAGAGATTTATTATAATAACTCAATTGATTTAGATAAAATATCAATTAATCGAAATTAAATTCTTTTATTCATCATTATATTTTGATGATATATGAAACATTTTTGTATTGTTGGCTTTACAAAGAAACAAAATGTTAAGACTTGTTTATTTAAAACTTCAACTAATGTTTTTTGTATTATTTTAAATGAGTAAAACTATATTCAACTAGTAGATAATAATTCATATTTATCGATTTATCTAAATATATCTATTGCTTAGAAGAATTCAAAATTTAAACTTTAAAATAACTAATATTTATATATCTCTAAGCAAATATTCAAGAAAATATTGTACAAAAACTAAATTTAAAATATTTTTATCCAATTTCATTATTATTTAGTACAAAAAAAAAATGAAATAGCTTTTTTTTTTTTGAAAATATTTTACATAATGTTTAAATAAGTAAAAATTATATTTTTTCAAGTGAATAATTTTTAAGTCTATGTAAATAAACAAGAAATAAAACAACAAATCGAATCAAATATATCTATCACAAAATTTTATCACAAGATAGAGAAAAGAAAACTAAGCAATATTGTGCGTATCGTTTATCAAATAGAAAGTTTATTTTCAAATTATTCTACATATGTTCAGTCTGATTTCAATAAATCTTTATCAATATTAATAAATCTCATTGTTGTACCATAGATATTTGTTGTTGAACATTCATATTTTCCTAAATCAACTTCAAGATCAAAATCCGGTATTATCATAATTGATGTATAATCATTCATTGATAATTCATAATGAATTTTTGATCTTGGTATTTGATCATCAAATGTCCATTGATGATATTTATTTAAATTATCTAAAAAAAAAAAGCATCATTAGAAAACAATTTATTTTTTTTTTGATTTTCTATTGAAATGAAATTTACCTGTACTACAAATAAGTCTTAATTCACCATTATCCAATAAATGTGATGTATCAATTGTTAAATTCATTTTTGGTTTTCTATCTATTTGTTCGTAAATATTTGAATGTGTATTAAATGTTAGTGTACGTAAAATTTCATTTGATAGTTTTGATTTAATAAGACATTTGTATTGATTATGATGTTCTAATTTGAATGGACGAAATTCTAAACGAGGACCACGTATATAAAAATGATTTTTATCGATGGGAACATTTGACCAAACTACTTTTCCTTGTGAAATATCTAAACATAGAAAAAAAGAAAAACAAATAAAACCTTCGAAAAATGAATTTACAAAAAGAAAAAAAAAATCATTATTACCTCGTCCTATTCGACATATTAAAGTAATATTATCTCCAATATATTTTCCTTCAATAATTTCAATAGAAGATTTATTATATTTAATTGGTTTTGGTTTTTTTAAATTAAAATTTGCTAGTAATTCAAATAAACTTGGAGATAAAACTAAATTTTTTCGTTCATTATGATTTATACAATGATAATAATCAAAATGATTATGTAAAAATTTTGGAATATGAAGATAAGAATTATTTATTATTATTCCATCTATTTGTTTAGTTAATAACCATTGTACTGGTGTTTGATCAGATGATGAACAATTAATAAGAATATTTCCACCAAGTTTTATTTGATTTATTGATGAAAGAAATTCAATATGAAGATTTGAAGTTTTATCTAATGGTAATCTATGAGAAAGAATATTTGAATGTGTAATCTTAAAATTAATTGATGATTGTTGATTTTCATTTGATGATAAACATTGATATTGAGCAATATTTTTTCGATTTAATTTATTCATAAAAAGATAAGTTTCAGATATATTTTTATTTAATTTTCCATGTTTTTTTATCCATAATTTTGAAAGATTAGGATCTGAAATTTCATTAGAAATATACATATATATTCTCTAAAAAAAAAACAATTCTACCTGAAGAAATACATTCAATAAGAAGACGTCCACCAATACGATAATCCGAACGTGATGAATAGATTTGATATGAAAGTGATGGTTTTATATTATTATTATTATTATTATTATTAGATATATCATTTGGTTGAAATTCAATTGATTGTGAAAGATGTTTAGTAGAAGTTTCTGTTGAACAAGTATATGTTCCTAGATTGTCTGTATTAAAATCAAAAATTAATAAATGACCATCATTTGTTACATGTGTATTGCTTGGTAATGAACCTGATTGAAATGACCAAGATACTTTATTAGGTAAAATATCTAAAATTAGATATAGATAGATAAACGATTCTTCTATTCAATTTTATACCTTCAACATAACAATGTAATTCAACAATTCCACCTGCTTTAATATCCGTTCGAGCAGTAATTAATCTAATATGAATTTTAGGTGTTTTTGCTAAACAAAACGAAAAAAAAACATTTTTTGAATATTTTCGATCATATCTATGTACTTTTTCGTTGATTAGTTGTTAAACTTCTTTGAACTTCATCATTACTAACAACTGCGATTAAATATTCTGCTGAATAACGTTGAATACGAATTATTTTTCTATGTAATTTTCCATTAATATCTTTTGCATGACATATAAATTTTTTATTAATATAATTTGATCCTACATGAAATGTAAGTGGATTATTTTCTCGTTGATAATGATTTATTGATGACCACCAAATATCATTTGATTGTGGTAATCTACAATTAAAACGTACTTCACTATTAATTAAAAATATATTTGTAGGTTCAATATCAATTGAAATTTTCTGTGGTATTTGTTGAACTATTTTAAATAAATTAGTTAAAATTTAAAAAAAAAAATAAACAAATATTACCATCAATAGTAATAGTTTCTGAAGTAGAACCATATGGATTTGTAGCAATACATATATATGTACCACTATGTTTAAATTCTAAAGGCATATTTGATGGAAAAAGTCTTGTTGTTTTTGATACATCCAAATCATTCTTAAATATTCTAATTTGATAATTTCTTTTAATAATATTGATCTACATACAGTATCTACACGACGCCAAGTTATATCTACTGGTATACTATTATCTTCATTTAAACATTCGATAGTTTGAGTTGAATAGTATGGTACTTGAAGATATCGATTAGTTACCTTTGGTAAAATGATAATAGAAGGTGGAAATCCTATGTTTTTTTTTTCAAAAACAAAAATAGAATTCAATTTGTATTCTTATTTTTCTACAAGCATTATTTTTATATACCAGTAACCTCGAGTGTAACTATTTCTTCAGTATAACCAGCTTGATTTTCACCACGACAGACATATTGACCAATATCTGAATCTGATACGAAATCAAAATCAAGAATACCATTTGAATGTTGATTTGATAATATTATCAATGTAATATCTTTCCTAAATTATTATTCAAGAGATAACACAAACAAAACATATTCATGAAAAGAAATAAAATAACAATGAAATCTATTTTCAATGAGTTATTCATATAAAGTTCAGTATAAACATGATTAATAGTAATATCAAATTATTCGATAACAAAAATGCTTACGTATGAAGTAGATCTCGTAGATTTTCATATATTCAAATGTGAATCAATACTAACACGTATTATTTGAAAAATTCTTATGGACGAGGATTCGATGTAGTCCTATCATGAACAATGAACAGTTCTTCTTTGACAATAAAAGTAAATCAAACTATTTCTAAATAGCTAGCTTTTGTAAAAAGAAAAGGAAATAATTTTAATTGAAAAGATGTCAGAGATCTTTTTCATTTTAAAAATATCACCAACATATTTAAGACTATAATCAAT